CTGAATAAATATGTAAACTGAATAAAATAACTAGATAACATAAACTGACTTAAAACTGAAAGAGCAGATTCCACACAGAATGATTTATATTTTGGACTGTGTGTAGTGGTGAGCAGGATCTCTCAGTTTATGGTGGTGTTAAAATGCTAGTTCAGATCTCTCTGCCTACATTATGCTCAGTGGCTTTCCAAACCAACCAAATAGTATAATTAAAAGTGAAATAAAACTTAACATTTACAGAGTATCTGTCATCAACCCTATAGTTTACTGCTAAAATGGATAATAGTAGAAATGTAAATATAGGTCAAATCATAAACAAACAGGAAACAATTAAAATTTTATAATCTGAAATTACTTAAGGGCATGGGAGGAATAACTCAATATAGGAAGCTCCCACATCTGACTTCAATCTTTGTAAATAAGGCTGTTAACTTATAATTCTCCCTTTCCTAGGAACCCACTGCCTTTAACTCCTAAAAGCAAATGGAGTATAGTTTGTTCCACAACATCACTTGCTTTGTGTTATGTGGATAAAACATCTGGAGATGGGACTGAGTTTCATTTTTCTATCCATCTGGTTGTGCTGGACTCAGAGACATATTTTGCTTCCTCTGTAGAGGTCATTCAACCACAGTCATAAATGTTTTCCCCAGTACCACAGTAAATCCAGAAGTTTCAAGATAAATGCTGATACTGTTGTTTCTGGGACATTACCTTGTCAATGATAACCACAGTGTAACATGCTTGATCACTGGCCTTTGAAGTACAGTGGTTACTTTCAACTGTATCACCTAACTGTGGATCCAGAAACAGTTATTATTTATGTGATTTATTTCACATGTATTGTTTTTCCCAATCCTTTCCCTTTCATCAGACATGAAGACTCATGTATAAGCTTAGAAATGAACTTGGTCTTTCATTTTTGATATTTTAATTAGAAGGTATGACCCTCACTTGTTAGCTTTATATGTAGATGAGAGGATGTGTTTCACACTAATGTCTTACAGAGAACTCATCACATGTTCAGAACAATGTACTGTCATTTATAAATTGAAAACCCTGCAGTGGCTTTTCCATAACACTCCCAGTAAATACACATTCCTTGTAATTAGACTTCTAAAGGTCTAAACAGTATGGCCACTGTCTTTCTGGCCTCATTTCACAGCCACTTAATTTCTTTGAATATACTCCAAATCTTTTTTCAATGGGCCAAACCCATTTGTACCTTAAGTCAGTTAACTGGCTGTGTCCTGGGGAAATAATACTCTCTACATTATAGGAAGGTTCTATGTATACTACAACAAAAAAGAATATGTATTACCCTCCTAGAACTGAATAAGTCTTCAAAATTGTCATTATTTCTAGCACTAATATACCATTGTCCTTTTACTTGTTTTTTTGTTTGTTTGTTTTTCTTCTGGTACCAGGAATTGAACCCATGACCTTGTGCTTGCCAGGCAGGCACTGTGCGGCTGAGCTAAATCCCCAGCCCTTATTGCTGTGCTTTTGAAGTATGGGTCCACTTTTTGTTTATTGTATCCTGCATTTGTTTCCATCTTATCCACAGTAGTTCATTTGAACACACATTTGGGAACATCTACTTTAGGCCAAACATTCTGTTCTGTCAGTTAAAACTCAGTGAGACCTCTGTCCTTAGACAAGTCAAAATCAAATAAGAGTGATTAAAATATGTGCAAAATGGGCAATGCTAGACAGAAAGGAGAAACTGCTGTAAGCGGATTAAAATATCAGTAGTTGAGGGAAGAGCTTTTGTTAGTTTGTATTTTGGGGATTTTTTTCAGTTTGCAAGTAGACTAAAAAAGTTTTCTATGATACATGTTGTGGATTTTCCTTTTTTTGTTGTAACTTAGTTAGGTCTTCAAAAACAGATATAATTTTAGTAATTGAAGTTTTAAAGAAAAGATATTCTCAAAAGAGACAGCGACAAAAATATTAAAAGCAGGAAAACATATATTTTCATAAGGCAGCAATTTTGGGTACAGTATAGTTTGAATATGTAAGAGCAGCTAGTGAATAGATTATTAAGGTGTGTTGAAAGTAAGAGTCTATGATCTATTTAGAAGGAAATGGCGTGTTGACTGACAGCCTTAGAGAAGTAGAGAAGGGAAGAGGCACTATCAAATACCTTTAGGAAGGTGAAGGAAGGGGAGTGGCAGCATGCAAGATAAATAAGACCACAATAGGTTGAAAAATAAGTTAGCAGAGGACAATGTCACAACAGGCAATATTGCTTTTCTGATATATAGCTCAAATATTCTTCCCATCTCCCAGTGGCTCTCTTCTTCTGCCACTTTAGCCAAGGTGTTGTAGTAACTTAGGATCCTGTGAGACTTTGAGATCATGAGGGCAGCCTGATTCTCTATGACATCTGCCCTGAAGAAATTCTGTATAAAACCTGGCCATGATGAGAGCATGCTGAGAGAAGCTACAAGAAGGAACAGAGACAATAGAAAAAGATCAGCTTATAAGACCAAAGGCAAGAGAATCTACCATAGCCATCTGTGAACTAGAGAATGGGATCCACTGGCTGCATAATCCAAGAAGGTAAAAGTATAGAACAAGAGTTCAAGGACACAGTGCCACACTGAAGTCTTGGGAGCTCCTTGGAGAGTCACTGATCTGACAGAATTACAATGGTGAGGACACTGGAGTCTGATATACACAGGTGATGGCAGTAGCAAAAGAAACACACAATGGAAGAGTTGTTATTGTTATCCAGGCTGATTTTTTCCTTCTTTCCATCCAGGCTACAAACTGCTGGATGGGCCATTCACAATCAGGCTGAGTCTGCCCTCTTCCTCTGTTTTCTGGCCAACAGGCCAATCATCTACATACAGGCCAATCAAAAGTACACTTTATTAATCTGATAGGCTGGTACTTAACCCAGTCAAGCTGACATACCTAAGTTAACTGTCAGAATCCACCCCTTATAAACTTGACAACTAGATGCATCTCCTTAAACAATACTTAATCTCCAAATAAAGATAATAGCAAGTTTATAATTCTGCCAATAAGATAAAATTATCCCACATACAACCAAAATGCAGTCATTCCCTCCCCAGAATAAGAGGCAAAGTTTTTCCTTGGGAGATCTTATTCCTTTCCTGACACTCAATAACTGAAATATTGTAACTTAGATTTAACAGTACTTAGGTTCTCATATTAAGTCAATCAGTGTTGTATCACATGATATAAGAACACAAAGAAAAAAAGATACCTTCTTAGAATATGTGTGTATATGCACAAGCATATTAACAAAATTGGAAAGAAATGCTCATAACAATTACACATTTGCTCCCTCCACAAATCTGTTTCCTAAGGTATTAGAGATTGATACATTTTCTGGACACTCCAGTGTAGAGTGACAGGTTTTACCTGGCAAATCCACTTCAGCAATCCCATCTCCCAGAACTTTTGAATCCCCTTATAAGCACTAAACCAAGGAACAGGAGTTATCACTTGCTTATTCACAGTTGGCCATCTGTGGATCTACATTTCAGCCAAACAACCAAATACATCATTAGCACTTTTTATAATGGCAGGATCTGTGACATTAAATTCATAATCTCTGCTTTAATGGGCCCCTATGAAGAAATTCAGCCTGATCATTGTATGTCCCTTCCATGATCATCTTGCACTCTTAAAATCCATTCACATAACTACTCCACAGACCTCTGTTTATAAGAACTGGAAAGCTCAACATGTCCTTTGAGAATGTAACACACTTCATGGCTCTGCTGTGTCCCTCACTTTTGGGGGCCTTCTGAGATTGAGCCTGAATCTAGGATTAGGGGCAAAAGTGGGTGGTGAGTTTGGGTCCTGAGATCGTTAGCAACATCTTCCTTGACAGCTACATCATCACAGGCCCAAAGCGTTCTGTGAACAGCACAGGATTGACTTCCTCAAACAAAGGTGATAAGGTTGGAGAGGCAGTGAGGACATGCATGGGGGTCAGTGGGACGCTTCTACCTCTGCCAAAGTTAACTCCAGAGTTTAGGATTTCAGTGTCTCTAGCTTCACCAAATTCCTCCAGAACATCTCCATCCCAAACAACAAGATCCTGTTCTTTTCCACTTTCCCTATAAATACATTTTTAGGTCAAGAGTTAAATGTGTACTGCAATTCAGCCAGTTGCATGGTGAGGGCTTGTGTCTGGTTTTTGCCAACTTGAGCCCTATAGCTATAGGACCAAAGATTCTCCTTCAGGAAGCACTTAGGAGACTTGGGGTTGTTCAAGCATGTCTGAAGCTGAGAAACTGGATCTTTGAACTCATTATTTTCCTTATTACTTTATCCAGAGATGCTAAGAGCAACCAGTCAACATCATTATATTTCTTAGTCTTTAAAAAGTGTTTAAAAAGTGTTCAAAATTATGTATGTCAAGTCTCTAAATTTCTTGCATTTCACAAGTGGTGGGCTTGAACTCTCAGATTGATCTATGTTGTCTATTTCCTGAAACACAACTGGACCATCTGTACTTTCTATGGTTTCTGAGGGAAAGACTGTGGTAACTTTAGGTCTCACTGACTTAGAGATTCAACTCCACGAACCACTAATCTGATTAGGAAAATTCATCCTTACACTTGTGTTTCTTTAGAACTACTTCTGGCACCAAAATCTGCATGGGTTAAAATTCTCTGGGGAAACAATGAATGGAGTTTATATAGATAGCAAAGGGATACATTATAGATTAGGAGGCTTATGGAACCACCGGTGGGAGAACACAGTCACTGTCTGTGTGCTGGAGACCTGGAAGGTGCAATAGGTGTTCAGTTGGGTAGCAATGGATGCAGAACAACAGAGGCAAAGAGTGCAGCCCTAGCCTGAGACTGAAGTCCTAGAAGCTCCCTGGGCAGTCACTGCTCTAACTGTATTGAAAGAAACTGGAGTCTGATGTCCACAGGTGATGGTAGCAGCAAAAAAAAAATGGAGCTTTTTATGCATGCTAACTTCTCCTTCTTTCCTTTCATTTCACCTAGGCTACAAGCCTATCAGATGGCACCACCCACAATCAGGATGGGTTTTTGCCCCTCAGTTTGGTGGCCTGCCTGCCAGTCATCTCTAGAAATAGAGAGACACACCCAGAAGTGTGCTTCAATAATCTGCTAGATGGGCCGAGTATATATATATATACATACACAGCTCAAGGGCACAGCGCCTGCCTGGTAAGTACAAGGTCCTGAGTTTGATTCTCACTACAAAAAAAAAAAAAAAAAAAAAAGAAAGAAAGAAAGAAAGAAAAAAGAAAAAATAATCTGCTAGGGGTTTCTTGGTCTAGGCAAGTTGACTTATCATAATGGATGGTCAAAATGACCCAGTTGTCAGCACCAGCTGGGCTTCCAGGCTCAGTCAGACCCACATGCACCATTTTGAACTTCCAGGGCTGTCTTTAAATGACTGTGGACTAAGTGATAACTGAACAGAGCTGCAGGAGAGAATTCATGAAAGTACTGCCTATCTGACCCTTTTCCAAATACCTTCACACAAAACCATGAACAGAATAAAATATGTCCTGTTTTACACTAGATTTGGGGGTAATTTTACATGTACCGACTGTAACAACAAACTAGGAAGTAAAAATTGAGTCTTCTTTTAAGAAATTATCAATCAGAATTAAAAAGAGAGGAGGTGTACAGGAGCAGTAACTAGGAACTCTATGGGTTAGTGATTGATTAGATGTGGGAGACATGACAAAAGAAGGTAGCAAGTATCTCATCATTTCATGTCTGGGTAAATACTGGTATGTTATTTCCATTCACTGAAATACACAATTGCTAGAACTGCCCTATTTAATGTTCACTTGATCATTCACTTATTTAACAAATAATTATTGAGTGTACAGTGTGTGTCCGTGTGTGCTCTGCAAACTATGAATACAAAGAAAAAAGAGTCTTATCCACGAAGAAGTTTCAGTCCAGAAGAAAGCATATGAGGTGAAAGCTGGTAGGCTAAGTGCCATGGAAAAGGGTCAGCTCAGCTAAAGTGAGGACAGAGAAGATGAATTAAAGCACGAAGGTGCAAGATCAGCCAAGGTTTGTCCAGCCAGATCACTTCTGAAATTTTTCTCCAGGGATTCTGGTCTATTCCTTTTCTATCTATAGCCCTACAACTCTGTTAACATAATTCTGACACATCTGGGTGACTACTCCCTGTCCCTGTCTAATTTCTAATGCCCCTTTCAAATTTTTTGCTTCACAAGAGCCTCTCTACATGTGTTTCCTGTAGCCTTTCTTGACCTCTGTTGCCAGTGAAGAGAAGTTGTTTATTGTCTCTGTAACATGTCTGACTCTTTTATAGTTTCCAAAGTTGTGCTCTTTCTGTTCTCTTCCTCTCAAAGCCCACACAGTCAAAGCTCAACTGAAGTCAAATCTCCTGGAGTCCTCACTCTGCAGCATGTCCCCTTTCCCTGCTCCCTCAGGACTTTGTAGCTCTATCACGCGCTGTGATCTTACATTGTGCTGATCTATCTGTGAGAATGTTCTGTCCTCCTAACTAAAACGCATTATAGGATACTCACCTAAATTTACATTTTAAATTCCTTATTGCTAGCACTGTGCATTGTATTCAGGAAGTATCTGATGAACACTGCACAGTGCTGATTATATTGATGCTGAGTTTTACCTCCTAATATTTCAAATACTGCTTATTTATCTCATATAATTGATCTGTTGTTTAAAATCTTGTTAAGTGGTTTCCTTCTTAATTATAATTTTAAAGGTTGTGATTTGACATTTGGGAATTTGTTTTTTCTAGCTCTTAATTTTTTGTCTTTTTCAGAAATTGAAAACTAGCATTATTGGTCCCTACATTAAAAGCAACCTGGTTCTATAAATCTTAGATATTAGAAAGTAAGGACCATGTTAACTGTATTTACATTTTCAAAATCATACCTTTGTGTGGAGCATTTATAACTTCAAATGCATTTTCTAATAAATAAATGTTAATGTAATTATTATTTTCATCCAAGCCAGAACAAGGAAAAAGTGTAAGTAGGATCAATTTCTTACTCTATTACTTAAAAGAATTTAACTGGACTTGTACTACTTAAGCATGTTATACTAGAGTAAATTTAGAGCTCACACAGAAGTTTCCTTAATACATCAATATGTGAGGGGAAATGAGGCTGACTGGTAAACAGACACGTGTTTTTACAAAGGTCTCAGAAACCTCACAATCTGTAGCTGGTGCTAACAGTCTAGCCGTGGATATGTCATTTAAACCTCCCGCGGGAAACAAAGTAACTGACCCAGAGGAAGTTCATGTTGACCAAAATGTTGTTTTATTTTGTGTCTCATCTTAAAAATAAAAAAATAACGGACATGTTGTTTCTCACATTCCCATTCTTTATTTGCCGCATAGGGACAAAAAGCTACAGAATGTAACTTTATTTGACTTGATTTTCTTTCACCAGTCCCAAGTTGGCTATGAAGTTCTGGTGAAATAAAATGTCAGGGTGTGGTCCACTTGCTGTTACACATTTTTAAAATTTCTTTTACAGGAATAAGCCAGTAGGAGCCAGAGGACAGCACTCCAGAGCAAGTGTGAGGAAACTTATGCACATCCCCATTTTTCCTCTTAATCCCACTGTGGTCTGACAGCCAGTTCCTGACGCGAGTCCCTGACAGCGTGATCAGGGGATGATAGGTCTCTGGGCTCCTCTCCTGTGCTGAGTGTTGATGATCTTGCAGAGTCCCTGCTTCCACTTCTCAGAAGAAGTGAAAATTTACATGCAGTAGTTCATCCACCCCAGACTTCTTCAATATGGAGCTCTACTCCGAGGAAACACAGTTTTCCCACTCATTCTGGTTAAACAGTTTGCAACATGAGGGGTGCAGACCCTGTTTCTCTATCAAATACATTTGAATCCATCCTATTCACTATTTGTCTTGTGATTTGCATCTTATAAGTGACTTGAAACTCAAACTTCTATCTTTTTTTCACCGGAATAATAAGAATGTTTGATACCATGTATAGTGCACAGAGTATCAAGTATTTTTGAAAGAAAAACCTTATACTAATTAATGTATTTTAAAAATTTCAAAGTAGGTTTCAAATGCAGGAGGTTTTGTTATTGATTCTACCCAGGTGGACAAGGATACTCTAAACCAGCGTTTATCACTGAACATGATGATCACCACCAGAGAAAAGTATGAGTGTTGGGGAACAATCAGGTGCAGAGAGTACTGAAGACAGATTGGAATGAAGCGTCGTTGTTCCAAATCCAAACATCCAGTAGAAGGAGTGCATGAATGAAACAGAGAGAAGGGACATTTCAGAAATGGAGGAAGGAGGCCCCAGACAGAAAAGCAAGAATATGATATACCGATTTACTGAACAATTTATTACCAGTATGAAACATTTTACATTATACAGTATATCAATAAAATCTCCTTCATTTGCGTTAAAGTAAACATGAACAATGATAGGTGAGAGCCCAGAGAGATCAAACACAGTGCAGGCCTCGGATGACTAGGATAGCACACAAGCCAGGGCCAGGTGGCTTGAAGGCAGAATACATACAAGCCAATGTGGTTCTTTAACAAAAGCAGATGTTGCCTCACAGATTACAGCCACAACTTGCATATTAACTTGGGGGAATGTGGTGCCTCAGCCTCTTACCTGTCGCTGACACTTTAATCTGACTCTTTCACACGCCCACGCACAGAGCAGGTAGAGTCCAGACCAGAGACACAATGGGTGTCCTGCACAGCAGTGGGGGCATCACTTAGGGTTGCAGGAGACACAGGCAATGCACACAATGGACTGAAAAGACAGGCAAGACAGAGAGTGGAAGGAGAGGAAGGAGAGCATCTGACAAACCACAGCTGACACTTCCTTTAATTTATGTACAGTGTTCCTCAGCTTCTGGGGCCCAGAGTCACCGGGGTTGGGGGTGGGGCACCGGAACGTGGTATTCAATAAGAACAAGAGGATCTCTGTTGGAAGACTGGGAAGTTCTTCACGGATTGCACTGGTCTGAGTCACTTTCTTGGTCTGAAATCCCCTCATAGCTGTGCTAGTGTAGATTTTCCAGAATACAGACAAGAGCTTCATACCATGCTGCCGGCTGCAAAGACACAGTGGGCTGGCTGCTTTGCCATGGACTTGCTTTCTGAACAGCCACTGCCTTCTAAGAAGCCCTACTGTAGATCTCATCCTGCATCCCATGCCCTGGCTCAAGCAGGAAAACAAAATGTACCCAAATTTGAAATTTCAAAGTGCCCTGGGGAAGGCCTGTTGGAGAGAATGTCCAGGTTATGTCTTACATGTTTTTTTTAAAAAACTAGAAACAATTCTGTCTGCTGAAGTGCTAGCTTCAACATTTGCTGTTTGAAAGCTTCCCAAGCAGAATTAATTCACCACAAATGCAGAGTAAAAACCAGGATTTAGCTGAGGAAAGTACTAGGTGGGTTTGAGGGTATTTATAGAGGGAGCTGTCACAGACTTGTTTGGCTAGATATTCTGACAGAGACGAGAGGACTGTCACATCAGTCCTATGGCACAGATGAAAAGACTGGCAATGAAAGCTTCACTTTCCACAATTCCCACACCTAGGAAGTGGTGATGTTGGGATAAGAACCCAGGTTCTGACTCCCAGTCCAGTGGTCTCTTCATTTTAATACACACACACATAGATATTCCTGTGTGATGCCAATAATTTAACCTGCCCAAGGGAGATGTACAAGTATGTGTCCTCTGGTTTGATTTAATGTTTACTGTACCTAATTTCTGGATTTGTGGCCTCTGAGGGGCCTCCTGACAAAATGATGGAAGCAGCATCCAGAGGAGGTGGCTGTACCTGGAAGCTACATTATGTTGACCTTTCCTTACATCTTATTTACTTCCTTACAACACAAACCCAGGTACGTGACATCACTGAATGCAAAGACAGAAGACAGGCTAGAGTTAATGTGCTAGAACTGGAAATAAGTAGAGAACAAGAGTTTCTGGATAGCTGTATGATTGGGATTCTTTTTTATCTATCTTCTCCTGGCTATAGACTTTTGATTTTTTTGATTCTGCTTTGTTTTACCTCTTTAATTAAGTATACAAGAGCTAAGAGTTAAAAGGAAAAACTCTCTCTAAGCTTTCCTATACAATTCTAATCTTCTCTGTCACAGTAAATCACTTTTTACAGATCAATCATTATAATAAAATTCACCTTTTACTTCTGACTTCATGGTAAGCTGAGAGATTGGAGCTAAGTAACAACACCCTTCCCTTGGAAGAGGTTGCGGCACGGAAGCCATAGAGAACTGGAATAGACAAAGCAGTCTCAGCAGCACTCAGTAGATGGCACACAAAGCGCCAAGCTCCCGGCTTAGAACAGGGAACAGAAGACCAAGGCTGGGCTGCCCTGAGAGCAAAGCTACCTGAGAATCTGGTGGTTGTCTTTCAGGCAGGCCAAAGAAGTGTGTTTCTAAGCAAAAGCATAAATGCACAAAAAACATATAACAATCAAAATGAACCGTCTCTGTAATTAGAACAAAATGTTCAATAGAAAAGCAACAAAATTTAAGCAGAATCTGGGTTTTATATATACACGCTCACTTTCCCAGCAGAATTTATTCAGGGAGTCAGAGATATTGATATTTGGGGCAATAATTACTATGTGATGCAAACCACACAAAGGACATAGATCACCTCACTTGTTCTAGGAACAGCCTGCTAATATTACCCCCATTTACGGATGAGGAAATCATGGGGCCAAAAGGTCAAGAACCTCACCCAAAGCAAATGAAAAAGTCTTAACTCAAACCAGAATCCATATTGTATAGAAACCTGTAATAACCCATTTTGGCAAAAAGAAAATGGCCTTTCATTTAAAATTCACAATTTCCAAATCCATAATGCACTTCCAGGGTTTTTACACATTATAGAGCAAAGCTTCAAGGGTGACCTAGAGGAGTTTTTTGTTGTTGTTATTAAAGTCATCTTCTACTGTTGGATGAAAGGACACTATTGCCTTTCACCTCCAACCATCTCCTGAAAAGTGGCACAGGTTTGCAAATAAGGTTTGATTTTTTGGGCTGGGATGAAAACCTAAAAAAATCTAGTGTTATCTCGCATAAAAAGATTAGTTAACTAGAGAAGGAGAGAATGAAAATGTTTTCCAAACTGCCGTTTGCTTGGCCAAACTCCAGCGCAGAATGAAGTGCCCTCTTTGCTGAAGACCAGGGACTGCTCACACCCAATTACTTACAACTCAGAGCTAATACTTTCATTTTTTTTTCCAGACATGAAATCAATCACTGAATGAGATCTTTGTAAGTTAGGAGCGTAACCAGTCCAACCTCATGGCTGTTTGTGATTATGGCTGGTAAAATGAAAGATTGTTCAGCAGATATTAATAGTCAAAATGATGGAGAGGGGGAAGCAAATTAATCTCATTTAGAACTTCCAGAATGGAGAAGCCAACTCATGAGGAGATCCTCGGATCACCATGGGATGACCAGGACTCTGTTCTATTTGATCTTCCAAGAGCCCCTTGTCCCAGTGCAGGTGTTGATGAGTGGAGGCGAATGCCTGACACTGCCTGGTATTTCTCTTACTGGTCAGGAAGTGAGCGTTCTCCTGGCCTAGCTTCCTCTCTGATTCAGTTATTTTTCTCTAGTTAGTTAGCATGCAACACAGTTGGGCATGTCTCCACGGAAGAAAGCATTGCCTCCCTAACATCCAAGCTGTGCACATGGCCATGAGTGCTTCCGGAACAAGCTTGACAAAGTACAACTGGGGGTGACTTGAGGCTCCCTGTGATTTTCTAAGACCCACTGATGCAAGCATGGATTTTGCATCTTAGGCTAAACAATAATGAACAAAAGAATAATATTTCAATTCAAATTGTAATTGAGTTTTATTGAGCCTTTACTATGCTAATTTGCTTAATACTGTCCACAGCCACCTGTCCTAGTTGTAATGGCAGTTAGCAGAGCAAATGGCTTGCAACCCTAAGTTGTTTACTACTTGGCCCTTCACAGGAAAAAAGTCTTTGTCTATATCTTATTTAAACTATAATGAAATAAATTGAGTGAGAATATTTTTTTCCTAAGACTTCAGCCTATTAATAGTTTAATGTTTCAGAGAAATTGCACAGATCCAGTTTAGTCTGTATGGACCTTTGAGAAATAAAAGATTTCTGAAGATCATGACTGAAGCAAAATGAAAACTGACCTGAATGCATCGACCAGGTTTGGCCCTCTGTGTTAAGTCAAATTACATTAACATAAGCTACCAAGTCACTCCTAGTTATTGCGCTGAAACATGAAATCATAGCCTACATAGGTCAAAAGTAATTCAGTGTCAGCAATATCTGTGGCTCACGTGGTTCCTCAAGGGAAGGGTGCTGGCCAGCGAGGAAAGGGTTTCTTCTGCTATGCAGCATGTGTATCAGCTTTCCTCTGTCATGCATTGCACCCAGCTTTGCCTAATTTTCCAGGGCTTAATATAATCATCTTACAGCACAAATTCATTCACAACCTGGTAGTCCGATAAGGAATAAAGATTCCCTCTAAACAGTCTACACTTAGAACATGTTACAAAGCAAGCACAAGAGGGACAGTTCCAGGAGCTCCGGAGCACGGGTACTGCATGCAGGGCCAGAGCAGCACTTGAGAAGCTCCTTGTGAGGGCACAGAACTTCCGTTCCTGCCTTTGTATGTTATACTTGCTAGTACATTTAACAGCAGAGCCCTGAGCCATGATGGATTTTTGTGGTACTGCAATCAGGTTTCTTTTTTCCATTTCAGCGAAGTAATAACACAACTTATACACATAGTTGCATATGTCTATGCTGTGATTTGAATCTATACACAGTGTACATACACATGTATGATGATAGTGCATCACAGCTTCTTCAGGTTAAACCAATTTTAAGAAT